ACACCCCCAGGCACTGCATGGCCCCCACGTTGAAGAGGCGATTTCGTGAGACCCATTTCCACTGCTGGGCCGGGGCGCTGGCGTTGCAGCCCTTGGTGAGTCTCACCAGCGAGTCCTTCGTCTCCAGGCAGCCCTGCGTGCCCGTGTTGTAGATGAGGAAGACTTTGGAGTCTGGGGAAAAACCACAGGGAAAGTGTCAAAGCATTGCCAGGGATCCGGCACCACGCCACGCATCGCCCCAGCCCGGCCAGAGCATCCTGGCTCCCCTTCTACTAAGTTTTGATGTGCATCCCTGTGCACAGCACCCATCACGCTGGGGACCACCACTTCCCTGCAGAAACAACCCCAGGGTTTGCCCTGACGCCTGTCCTCGGGGTGATGGGCTCCAGGCAGGGTGAAATGGATGAGTGTTTGCACCCAGAGCCAGCGGAAGCCTCGTCGTGGCATCCCCGCGAAGCACCAGCTGGTGGCTTTTGGGCACCGGAGCCGGGGCAAAGCGCTTGCCCGCTCCAACAGCATCGCCAGAGCCCGTTAAAACTGAGTTCCCATTGGCAGCACCCGGCCGCAGCATCCCGAGGCATCGCAATGCACCCCATGCCAGCGGAGCCCGCACCAACCCCTTCGGCACCGGCCATCTGCTCCGGGCACGGAAAAACCCAGCAGGGAAACAGAGAGCAAATCCGTCCGTTTTACGTGTATTTGGCGACCAGCTAAAAAAGAAGTTGGGGGGAAGTTCTCCTATGGCATGAACGTGATGGTGGGCATCACGGTGTGATGGAAAGTGTCTGCACGCCGCCGGGGCGCGCCCCGCCCCAGCCCCGGCAAACACGGAACGTCGCATCTGGCCCCTCCGAAAGCCCAGCGCAGGCATGGGGAGGCGGGAGCGGAGCGGGGGGAATCGCTGCCAGCAGATCCAGCGGAAAGGCCGAGCTCAGCCCCAGCTCCACGCACGTCCCACCGTCCTGCCTGCTGCAACGGCCCGACCCCACAGCCCCACGGCGATTCCCCGACCCCCCAGCATCGCCGAGGGCCACGCCAGCACGTGAAACCATCTCAAAACCTGTATAAACCAGTAAACACAGGACGTTACCCCAGGACACGTTGCTCCAGCTGACGTGTCATTTTTAAAAGATACTTTCATTTCTTTAAACGCGTGGTTCTAAGCTAAAAAGCCGCCCCGGGGCTCCGCGCAGCCGCCTCTCGCCCCAACAAAAACCTGCCCCAAGCAGCACTTGGACAACGGGACTTTTGTCAGGGTGTTTTTTTGGTTTTGTTTTAAAAACAACCCATTTTTAACTCCACCAGCAGTCGAAGCGAACTCACGGGCCCTGCTATATTTAGCTTTGGTTTGCTTTGGTTTTTTGCCATCGCATGAATTTTTTGGGCCAAAAAGGGTTTGATTTCCTATTCCCCCACAACCTCGCCCTGCCCCAGCTATGTTGTTCCAGGCGGCTCCGGCACCTTCGAGCAACAAACTTCTCGGCTCAGCAAACTTTCCTGATTTGTCTCTGAAAGCAAAAAAGAAGCGGAGGAACACGGACACCCCCATTTAACGTCAGAGCTTCAGCATCGACGCAGCTCCAGAGAAGACATGATGTCAAAGGCCCGTTCCCCAGCCAAGATGACATCAGTGATGACCTCAAATAAACAACAGTGAAGTCCGCTCACGCAGAGATCTCCGGGGAGCAGACTCTGCGTGCGTGCAAAGAAAAAGGCAGCAGAGAAGAAGAAATGTTTAAATTTCTTGGAAAATATTTTTCAAATCACGGCAAGTGAGAAAATAAGTAAAAATTCAGAGGGAGCCGATTTTGGCTGGTTGAAGCTCAGGTCCCTTACACGGGTGCTGGTGTTCCCAACGGGAGCTGGCTTGATCCTGACCTGGACATTGGAAGAATGGTGGGGCTCATCCCCTGCCAAACACCCGTCTCCCCGTACCAGCATCATCCATGGCCTCACCCAGCCCATCGCTGTCCCCTTCCCGCACGCAGTAAGGGGTGCTGCCACCCATCACTGGCACCAGGCATGGGGTCTCTAAGCACTTCTGGGGTGATGGAGCATCAGTGTCACAACTCACTGGAGCCAAGAACCAGCGCTCAGGCAGGATGAGGCCCCCCCTGGCTCCCAGGCTGTGCCGCAAGGAGCCGAACTCCGGTGCTTTGGTACTTGGAATAGAAAAAGATGTTCTAGTGCGAGCACCACCGTGGCTGTCAGCAAGGGGAGACCCTTCTGCGTTTATCTGCTAACCCAGCTTTGTAAAAAAATCAATAGTGAATTGGAAAAGTCCCGGAGCCAGCCCCAGGAGGCGGCGTCGGGGTGCTCAGCGCTGCATCGGGGCCGTGCAGCATCATGTGAGGGCGATGCTCAATGCACACCCCAACGCCACGGTGCTTGGAGGAAGCCATCCAGACTGGAGGGGGCAGCCCCGGGGCCGGAAAAGCACAAAATAACCATTTTACTCTAAAAAGAGAAGAGCTGGAGGTAGAAAATTACGGGCTAAGGGTTTTGGCTGCCCCCGCACCCCGCGAGCAGCTCAGCCCACGGCCCCTTTGCCTGAGGCAGCTGGAGAGGCACCGAACGTGACCCCCCATCCCTGCTGAGTCCTGGAAGAGCAGGAAAGCATCAGCACCCGCACCTCCCCAGCGCTTCCATCCTCTCCCCTTGCAAAATCCATGGCGCACCGATGGCTGGAGCTGCTCCCCGTGAGGC